AGCTCCTGGAAGACTAGGTATCAATGAGATCGATGAAGACTAGGTGTCAATGAGCAGTAATATTTTATAAGGAATCTTTTCTGGACAGTAGGTCTCAAGAGTGGGCTTAAAATATTCAGTACACTAGGCTAGGCATGGTGGCTCATGCCTATAATCCCAGCACTTTGGGAGGCCAAGGCAGGCAGATCACCTGAAGTCAGAAGTTCGAGATTAGCCTGACCAACATGGAGAAACCCCATCTCTACTAAAAATACAAAATTAGGTGATCCACCAGTCTCAGCCTCCCAAAGAGGCCTGGAGTTCAAGAGCAGTCTGACCAACATGGAGAAACCCTGTCTCTACCAAAAATACAAAATTAGCCAGGTATAGTGGCACATTCCTGTAATCCCAGCTACTTGGGAGACTGAAGCAGAATAATCGCTTGAACCTAGAAGCAGAGGTGGCAGTGGGCCAAGATCGCGCCATTGCATTCCAGCCTGGGCAACAAGAGCGAAACTCCAACTTGAAAAAAAAAAAAAAAAAGAAAAGAAAAATTCAGTACACTACCCTATAAACAGAGGTGCTGTTATCCAGGCTTTGTTGTATAAAAGTGTCTTCCATTTCTAGAGCACAGGCAGAGTGATTTAGGATCATTCTTAAGGGCCCTAGGATTTTTGGAATAGTGAGTGAGCACTAGCTTCAACTTAAAGTCACCAGCTACATTAGCCCCTAACAAGAGGGTCAGCCGGTCATTTGAAGCCAGGCATTGACTTCTCTCTGTGAAAGTCCTAGATGGCATCTTCTTCCAACAGAAGGCTGTTGTTTCATCTGCACTAAAAAGCTATTGTTTAGTGAAGTCATCTTCATCAATGATCTTAGTTAGATCTTCCGTTGAACTTACTGCTACTTCTTCATCACACTTGCTGATTCCCCTTGGACTTTCACGGATTGCAAGATGAAAACTGGTTATGGAGACTGTGTCCTTCCTTAAAACTGAACCAACGTTTAACAGCTTCCAACTTTTCTTCAGCAGCTCCCTCACCTCTCTCAGCCTTCGGAGAATTGAAGACAGTTAGGGCTTTGCTTTGGATTAGGTTTTGATTTAAGGGAATGTTGTGGTTGGTTTGATCTTCTATCCAGACCACTGAAATTTTCTCCATATCAGCAATAAGGCTGTTCCCTTTCTTATCATTCCTGTGTTCACTGGAATAGCACCTTTTAAATTACTTATTTACATTTGTATTTTGTTTGTTTTGGGTTATTGTTTTTTTTTTTTTTAAGTAGAGATGGCCTTTCACCATGTTGGCCAGGGTGGTCTCAAACTCCTGACCTCAAGTGTTCCACCTTGGCCTCCCAAAATTCTGAGATTACAGGCATAAGCCACCATACCTGTTTTTTTTTTTTTTTTTTGAAACAGGTTCTCACTCTTTCACCCAGGCTGGAGTGCAGTGGCACAATTATACCTCACTGCAGCCTCAACCTTCTGAGCTCAAGCCTTCCTCCACCTCAGCCTCCCGAGTAGCTGGGACTACAGACATTCACCACCATGCCCAGCTGACTATTTTTTGCAGAGATGGAGTCTTGCTATGTTGCTCAGGCTGGCCTCAAACTCCTGGGTTCAAGAGACCTTCCCACCTCGGCCTCCCAAAGTGTTGGGATCACAGGCATGAGCCACCACACCTACCCAGATAGTTTTTGTTTGTTCTGAAATGGAGTCTTGCTCTGTCGCCCAGTCTGGAGTGCAGTGGCTTGATCTCAGTTCACTGAAACCTCCACCTCCCATGTTCAAGCAATTCTCCTGCCTCAGCCTCCTGAGTAGCTGGGACTACAGGTGCCTGCCGTCAAGCCCGGCTAATTTTTGTTTTTTTTTTTTTTGAGACAGAGTTTCACTCTTGTTACCCAGGCTGAAATGCAATGGTGCGATCTCGGCTCACCGCAACCTCCACCTCCTGGGTTCAGGCAATTCTCCTGCCTCAACCTCCTAAGTAGCTGGGATTACAGGCACGCGCCACCATGCCCAGCTAATGTTTTGTATTTTTAGTAGAGACGGGGTTTCACCATGTTGACCAGGATGGTCTCGATCTCTTGACCTCGTGATCCACCCGCCTCGGCCTCCCAAAGTGCTGGGATTACAGGCTTGAGCCACCGCGCCCGGCTAGTTTTTGTATTTTTATAGAGACAGGGTTTCACCATGTTAGCCAGGCTGGTCTTGAATTCCCGACTTCAGGTGATCCACCTAACTCAGCCTCCCAAAGTGCTGGGATTACAGGTTTGAGCCACCACACCCAGCCAATAGTTCTTGAGGAAAATTAAAAGTGCTTCACCAGAGGCAGGGTATGGTGGCTCAAGCCTTTAATCCCAACACTTTAGGAGGCCAAGGCAGGAGGATCACTTGAGCCCAGGAGTTGGAAGCCAGCCTGGACAACATTGCGAGACCCCGTCTCTACTAAAAACTTTAAAAAAAAAAAAAAAAAAAAGGCTTATCTTGTCTTTCAACATGCCTTTCTCACTGAGCTTAACTATTTCTAGCCCTTGATGTGAAGTGGGAGATTTGCAACTCTTCCTTACATTTGAACACTTAGAGGCTATTGTAGGATTACTAATTTCAAACAGCTGGTTGGTGGAACAGTTAGAATGCATACAATATTGATGGATTAAGTTTGCCCTCTTACACAGGCATCATTCATGGTGCCTCAAAACAATTACAATAGTAACAGCAAAGATTACTGAGCTCAGATCACCATATTAGATATAACAACAAACTTTGAAATATTGCAAGAATTACCAAAATCTGGCACAGAGACACAGACTGAGCATGCTTTTGAAAAAATGATGCCGGGAGACTTTGCTCAACGCAGGGTTGCCAAAACCCTTCAATTTGTGAGAAACGCAGTATCTGCAAAGCACAAAAAAGCAAGGCATAATAAAACAAGGGATGTGCCTATTTTCTTTGACTCTCGCCAAACCCTTATATTTCCAAAACATGAGAAAATGGAGGCTCAGAAGGTGTGGATGATTTGCCTAAATCACCTGGCTACTAACCAAGTCCCAGTGCCACCGACTTTTCACCACAAAATACTGTCACCCAAAGCCTTCAGGATAAGCTCAGCTGTGAAGCCTTAGGCACACAGCCAGACACAAGTGGGCACTCAGAAATTAGTTAAGTGAGTAAATACCCAACAACTAGGAGAAAGCTAAGCAAATTGTGGTTGACCAACAAGATACTACAAGACTTTTCAGGAGGAAGATGTGGAATTCCACCTATCAACATTAGATGAAAATGCAGAACCTCATATAACAGCCACAAATCTCTTAGATCGCAGAGGCAGGTCTCCATCCACTTGGTCTCAGTTACCCAGAGCTGAGTCACCACCTACCCTCCCTCCAGTCTCTTCACGGCATTCGGCAGGAACCTGCTGGGACTCTACTGCCCACACGGCCAAATCCAAATTCTTCATCCTGGCCTTCTCGGCCCTTCCATCTCAACCAATCCAGTTGTTTCCTAAATTAGTCACTTTCACTTTCCCAGGACTTTGCTGGACTCTTCCCTCTACCTCACAGAACCCCATCTTCTCCTTTATCCTAAGACTCGACTTGGCTCATATGCACTCTTAGTGAATGCTGGTGCTTTTCCTCACTTCCATCAAAAAGAGAGTGGTGGCCAGGAAGGTGGCTCACCCCTGTAATCCTAGCACTTTGGGAGGCCGAAGCGGGCAGATCACCTAAAGTCAGGAGTTTGAAACCAACCTGGCCAACATGGTGAAACTTCGTCTGTACTGAAAATACAAAATTAGCTGGGCATGGTGGCGCACGCCTGTAATCAAGGAAGCTGAGGCAGGAGAATTGCCTGAACCTGGGAGGCGGAGGTAGCAGTGAGCCAAGATCGCACCACTGCATTCCAGCCTAGGCAACAAAAGCAAAACTCCATCCCAAAAAAAAAAAACAAAACCGGAAGCAGCTCACTTTTTGGGTTTTTTTTGTTTTTAACAAAGGTGGATTTATTCATTTGAACCTATAGGATCACCAAGTTCACTAGAAACTGGCAGGATGAACCTGGAGCCCCATATCCAAGAGTCTCTGGTTTTGGGCTTTTCTGGTATGGAGGCACGGAACTGACTTAGATGACCTGGGCAGCCAGATTGGGGTGGGCTTGGATGCCCTTCCTTCTTCTCCTTCTCTCTCCCAGCTTCCTCTCAGGGGTCAGGACCCCAAACTCGGTATCAGGCAAGTCTCTTCTTCCCTTATCAACCCAGTTTCTTCATATATGGGGAAAAAAAGGTGGGGAGAGCTTATTATCACAATGTTTCTTTTTAATTTAGAAAGAGGGGGAGAAGGCCAGGCTCACACTTGTAATTCCAACACTTTGGAAGGCTGAGGTGGGTGGATCAGTTGAGGTCAGGAGACCAGCCTGGCCAACATGGTGAAACTCCGTCTCTATTAAAAACACAAAAATTAGCCAGGCATGACGGTGGGCGCCTTTAGTCCCAGTTACTCGGGAGGCTGAAGCAGGAGATTCACTTGAACCCGGGAGGCAGAGGTTGTAGTGAGCTGAGATCGTGTCACTGCACTGCACTTCAGCCTGGGTGACAGAGCAAGACTGTGTCTCAAAAAAAAAAAGGGTGGGAGAGAAAAATGACAACAAAATAACTTATCACTTGGAAGAAATTTTCCCACAAAAGTTCTCATCAAGTATGTCCAAAGTCCCTCCTTCTTGAGACACTGTAAGCTGTCAATAAATATACGTTGGCCATGCCCCTAGATTGGCACGCAGAGACTTACCCCATTTTAAAAGCCCGCAGTAGAGGTCTCAGAGTTGCTATAAGGAACCAGCTCCTGGTGAGGGGTATTTAGCTGTTTGCAATTTCCCCGAACAGTTCTGTAAAGAACAATCATCTATAAGTATTTATCTTTGTTGAACAGCTGCTTCTTTTTGTTTTGTTTTTAGAGACAGGGTTTCACCATGTTGACCAGACTGGTCTTGAACTCCTGACCTCAGGTGATCCACCCGCCTCCCAAAGTGCTGAGATTACAGGCATTAGCCACCACGCCGGGCCTGTACAGCTACTTCTAAAGATAGACTCCTAGAAGTGGAATTACTGGCTTAGAGAATCCACACATTTTAAATGCTGATACTTACTGGTTGAGAAACTTTACACAGTAATTCTCAAACTCTAACTGTCCTTAGGCTTTACCTGTGAAGCTAGTTTATGCGCAAAATCTGACCGGCTCCCAGGCTCCCTCCACCCCTACCCCATCCTCCAGGAGGCAATCTGGAGGGGCTACACGTTTTTTGTTATGCAGCTCTTAGGTGGAGGAGGAGGCAGTGACTCCTTTCCATTTCCCCAACCTCATCTAGCACCAAACTTGGGAAGCACTGGTCGAAGGGGCTGCTGCAGGCACAATTTTTGGGTGAGGCCTCTGCCTCTAGCCCAGGCCCCCAGTGACTTCCCTAAAAACGACAGAGTGTGGCTTTGAGGCACACAGGAGAAAATGCCTAGTTTGGGGTTCAAGCTCAGTGGCCACTACCAGAGTCCCCTCTCCAGGCTCACCTCATTTCCCCTGGAGCTCCCCTCTTCTGAAGGTTCCGGTCCCATACATTTCCTGGAAGTTAAGGCCCATGGGTTTTACATTTCTTACTGAAGACAACCCAGATCTGGCTTTTTCTTTCAGAGGGCCGTGGAGGAAGCACCATTTATTTGGCCAAAAAATTGTTTCTGACCCACACTGTGGGCCTCAGTTTCCCTCTCTGTGAAATGAAGAGCAACGGGCAGTGCCACTGACATCTCACCTGCTGCTGTGAGAAGGTTTCTAACATTTGCAGGGAGTCTGGCTTCGATGGGGTGTCCAGGTGAAACCTTAACAATCCTTTAATCAACATTCTGATTGGCTTAGGGCCTGTTTGGAAAAAAAATTAAGAGTTTTGTTTCCACAGTTCTCCATTGCTAAAGGGCAATTAAGACCAAAAGCTGTTTGCAAGGCAATTTCCAAGCTCAAGGGCCCTAGATATACAGGCCTAGGCCTGTCCAGATAGAGGGCTGGGGGACGTGGGGGGATGCCCTAGGGAAGTTGGTTAACAGGTATTTCACAGTATATGGTACCCACAGCAGACAGCCGAGTAAGACCGTGCTGACCGGGGTTGGGGAGGTCAAGGAAAACCATCTGGAGTAGGATGTAACCGGCAGAAGAGGAAAAAGAAACCAGGCAGTAACTCGGGGAGCTCCTCGACTGATTGTCTGAGGCCGGGCACAAGGGGTAAGAGCTCAGGCTTCACTATCGACCGACCTGGCCTGAATGACACCGGTTGACTGTGTGACAAAAGCAAATGAAGACCCACTCTGAGGCTGAGTAAGCCAGAGACTTACATAGGACAGCACGTACCCCATCACCCGAGGATGAGACGGGATGTCACACACGAAGTGCCCCTTACAGCATCGTTGAAAGCGTTGGCTGTTTTCACCTCTGGCAGCCTCCCTGCGAGCCCAACAATGTGCTTTCTGAGCTTAGGGCGGAAGGCGGCCTCCCAGACTCTACAGGCCCTTGAGGGCATAACAGGCGTCCCCATCACAGCCCAGTCCTTTATCAGCTGCGGTTAACTGCCCAGACTAACTGGCCTCAGTTTCCCCTCGAGGCAATGAGAGGAATCGAAAAGCCGGCAGGACGTCTGGTGCGGGGCGCGAACTGACAAAAGTTAGAATTTCCAGGCGTTCCCCCTTCGGTAACGACCCCCACCCCAGCGAGGAGCACAGTAGGCGCTCCGGAAACGCCCTCCACAAGGAGGGCCGGGCCACTTCCTGCCCCTAAGCGGGCTCTCCCGGGCCGAGGCTCCCACCGCCGCTCGGGGGAGGCCATGCAGCATTCCTGAGGGCGGGGTGGGCGCAGGAAGAAGGTGCCCGAGGCCCCGCCCCCTCCGGGCGCGCTGGGCGGGGCGAAGCCCCTCGGCGCCGTCGGCCCGCCCCTCAGGGGGTGGGCGCAGCTCGCCGCGCTCCGCACAAAGTTTGTTTTCTCCCTCAGGGCGGGTGGGGGAGGGCACGGAGGGCGCGGGGGGAGGAGAGGGGATCTGACGTCAGGCCGCGAGGTGCTTTCCAGCCGCGAGCTGTCAGGCCGAGTGTCAGGCCGGGCAGGTACGCGGCGCGAGCCCCCGGCGCCCCCTGCCCCCCGCCGGAACGTCCAGCGCCGAGCCCTAGGCCGCGTGAACCCGAAAGCCGCTCGGAAAAGTCAGTGCAGGGAGCAAGAGGGGGCCAGATGGGGGTGGGGGTGCGCGGACAACTTGAAAAGTTTCTTTCTCTCGGTCGGGCGGGGGAGGGGGCGTCGTCCTGGCGCTTGCAGTTGGGGGTGTGTGAGCTCGGGGGTGTTAGTGAGTCCCGACGGCCCCCGAGAGGTGTTTGTGAGTCCCGACGGCGCTGCGGTTCCAGCCCCCGGGAGGAAGCCCGCTCGGGGCCCTGGTGGGGGCCCAGCTCCCTAGGATCCCACCCCGGGAGAGGGCCGCTCCTGCGCCAGACCTGAGTGAGCGCGCGGGGGGGCGGATTTGTTTGGTTTCAAAAGTGCACGTTGCTAACCGCCGGTAGGGCCCCCCCGCCTCCGAGCCAGGGAGGGGGCGGCCAAGAGTGACAGCTGGGGGTGGGGGCCGCGGGAAGGGCCCGGAGCGGGGGGGCCCTGGGGAGCCCGCGCGAGTTCCCCTTTCCTTTGGAACAAAGGAAAGTCTGTCTCCGAGGCATCTGTCACTCCCAGGCGGGCCAAGGAAGCGGGGCGCGTGGGGCCGGCGCCCCGGAGAAAGTTTGTTCGCGCCGGGACCCTCGGGCAGGCCAGGGGTGAGCGGAGCCTCCGGCAGGAGAAACGCTCAGTCTCGGGGGCAGGGGGCGGCCAACATGGAGTCTGGTAGCAAGGCCGGGGGTGGGGGGGCGGCGCGGAGGTGGGAGCCCAGCCCCCTCCCCTCCTCTCCCCTCCCCTCCCCCTCCGGGCCGAGTTCGGAGCACAAAGCCGAGCGCGCACGCTCGGCCGGCCCCGCGCCCCGAAGAGTCTACCAGCCCCAAGCTGCGGGGGAAGGGGGTGGGAACCAAACTTTTTTACTGCCCCGGGACAGACACGTGAGTTTCTTTCTTCCAGAGCCCCCGCCCCACTGGGATGGTGGGCCCGCGAGGGAGCTGTTGCGCGGAGTCGGCCTGGGGTGGGGGTGAGGGGCTGGGGGGTGCAGGCTCCCCGAGCGCCGGCCGATTCCTCGCCGCCCCGGGAGCCATGTGCTCCGACTCGGTCTGGGCCGCGGGAGAGGTTGCGCGCTTTGTCTGAACTGCTGGGAATGCGGGCGTGAGTGCGCCGCCCGGGGGAGTGTCGGGGCCGAGCTAGGGGAGTTGTCAGAAAGTTGGTGCGGGAGTGGCTGCAGGTGGCATCGTGGGAGTGTGTAGGAGGGTGCATGGGATGTTGTATCGAGGGGGTGCTGCCACAGGCCACTGAAGGTAGAATTGATTGGTAGAGTGATGACGCCCGGAGTTTTTCCTGTGGGAGAGATCGCTGTGGGCGGGTACAGAAGTTGGGCTTGTTGCGTGGGTCACAGTTGTTCGGGCTAGGCGTGGGGTCTGTAAGCTCTGTGTGTGCCTGCTGTATGTGTCGGTGAAAACCCTAGGGTTTGTAGGGCTTGAGCGATGGGTCAGGCCAGTTACCATAGCCCTGTTGGTTAGTTGCCTGGCGTGTGTCTGGGTGCAGTGTGGGTGTATATGTGGGAAATCTCCCAGACTATAGATGGGCCTGGGATGCAGGACACCCAGGAGAAGTTTGTGTAGACTGAGGGGTCATTTCCCCAGGGCCCACCCGGAGAACCCTGCAGACAGACTTGGCTGGCAGCCAGGGTGGGATTTGTACAGATAACCTTGAGTAAACTTTTCACAGCCGGTGAGGGCTGCATCCCTGAGCCCAGATCCCAGCTGCCCTGGCCACCTAGAAATGTCTGACCTCAGAAAGCAGTCTGCTGATGGTGCTCTGTGAGGAGTGGCACCTCTAACCAGTGCCTGTCTCACCTCCAGGTGGCCTGGCTGAAAGGGTAGACCCTTCCCTCGAAAGCCTGGCCTAGCCAGCCCAGAGATCTGGGCTCAGGTCCAAGAGGAGGAAACAAAACCTGGGAGATGCCAGAGTCTGTTGGCCGGCCTGCTGGGGAGCTGTTAAAAGGCTGAGAAGGGAGGAGCCTTGAGATCCTGGCATCAGCCTGGCCTAGAACTTTTGCTTTTAAAATGAAAATCTGGCCAGGCAAGGTGGCTCACATTTATAATCCCAGTACTTAGGGAGGCCAAGACAGGCGGATCACCTGAGGTCAGGAGTTCAAAACCAGTCTGGCCAACATGGCAAAACCCCGTCTTTACTAAAAATAAAAAAAACTAGCTGGGTGTGGTGGCGTGCGCCTGTAGTCCCAGCTATTTGGGAGGCTGAGGCAGGAGAATTGCTTGAACCCAGGAGGCAGGTTGCAGTGAGCCGAGCTCACACCACTGCACTCCAGCCTGGGCGATGGACCAAGACTCCATGTCAAAAAAAAAAAAAGAAAAGAAAAGAAAATATTTTTTGCATGTATGAGACAGAACACATGTCCGGGGCCTGAGCAGCTGAGTTGGGTTATCTAGGGAAAATCCTTCCTTCATTTGACAGGTGAAGAGGGGAGCTTGGCCTCCCAAAGCGCTAGGAGTACAGGCGTGAGCTACAGCAGTTGGCATTTTTATTATTACTATTTTTTCTTCTTTTTTTTTAGTAGAGGGGTTTCACCATCTTGGCCAGGTTGATCTCAAACTCTGACCTCAGGTGATCCACCCGCCTCAGCCTTCCAAAGTGCTGGGATTACAGGTGTGAGCCACCACACCCAGCCTATTATTACTATTATGATTTTAGAAACGGGGTCTCTCAGTCCCAAAGGTCTGTTAAAAAAAAAAAAAGAAACAGGGTCTCACTCTGTTGTCTAGGTTGACATGCAGTGGTACGATCACAGCTCACTGCAGCCTTGAACTCCTGAGTTCAAGAATCCTCTCACCTCAGCCTCAGAGTAGCTAGTACTACTGGCACACCAATACACTGGGCTAATTTTTATTTTATTTTATTTTTTTCTTTTGTTGAGACCGAGAATTGCTCTGTAGCCCAGGCGGGGGTGCAATGGCACATTCTCGTCTCACTGCAATCTCCAGCTCCCAGGTTCAAGCGGCTCTCCTGCCTCAGCCTCCTGAGTAGCTGGGATTACAGGCACTGGCCACCACACCCAGATAATTTTTGAGATGGAGTCTCTCTGTCACCCAGGCTGGCGTGCAGTGGCACCATCTCAACTCACTGTAACTTCTGCCTCCTGGGTTCAAGCGATTTTTCTGACTCAGCCTCCCGAGTAGCTGGGATTACAGGCATGTACCACCACACCCAGCTAATTTTTATATTTTTGGTAGAGATGGGGTTTCACTATGTTGGCCAGGATGGTCTCCATCTCCTGACCTTGTTATCTGCCCACCTTGGCCTCCCAAAGTGCTAGGATTAAAGGCATGAGCCACTGCACCCAGCCTCAAACCCGGCTAATTTTGGTGTTTTTAGTAGAGACTGGATTTCACCATGTTGGCCAGGCCGGTCTCAAACTCCTGGGTTCAAACAGTCTACCCGCCTCAGCCTCCCAAAGTAATGGGATTTCAGGCGTGAGCCACTACACCCAGCCCTAATTTTTATTTTGTGTAGAGAAAGGGCCTTTTTAAAAATCATTATCTTTTT